TAAGGCTATGAAAAGAAAATGTTTAGGCTGACAATATACAGAGCAGGAAAACAAACTCATGTGGGAAGGTATGACTGGACTGACAGTTCCCCAAGGGAAGAACAAATATACACAGTTTCAAGACAATATCCTGAAATACCACCACCTGCTTATAACTGCAGCCACATTTGTCCTAGGAGGACATTATTGTGAAGAGGCTCATCAAACACAATTGGTTTTAGGGCTTTGTAGAGGATGAAGAGAGGCTTAAGCTGACACTAGTTCATCTCTTAATGCAAGCTAGAAGCTCTTTTCCCTAATAAAGGAGCTCTTCTCACCCTTACAGTGAACTGAAACTTCCAGGAGTCTCTGCAGTGTGCATGTCTTCACAGAGGAGCAATAACAAGGCTGTGACTTCTGAAACAGCAATGACTATCTTCCTGCTTCTGTCTCAGATTCCCCCCCTTTGTCATACACCCCCATCTTCTCCCAAATACCCATTAAGTGAACTGTTATCGCCTGTCTGCTAGATTGGTCCATTTTTTTTCCCAACCAGGAGAATATTTTGCCTTTATCTTACTAGAATCCCCAGTGCAGGAAAATCTTCCACTTGCAGGTGGATACCCTGCTCGGTCTTTGGTGGAAAGGCTGTTGGTTGGGAATGCGATGGGTTGTCTCAGAACTGGGTAGGTGGTAGGCTGCACCACTGCATGCACCTAGAAAGAAGAGGGCCACTGGCCCCCGCTTTTCCATGCAGCTTCAGTGGGGCATGATCTGAGTCTTGTGGTCACTTGTGCGGCATAGTTTAGGAAGAAATCTATAACCTCAGTCCCTTAAAGCTGGGGGGGAAAAACCTTAAAATGCTGCAACATCAGAAAGTAAATGAAACTCCTTATAAATGGCTATAAATATTGTACTTATTTTAGCTAGTCTCACAGTCCTCCTGTGATCTGGTGGCCTGAGTTTGGCAGAGCTGAGACTAGGGCTTTTCCAAGCTTGTTAGTCTCTATTACAGCAAAGGGTAACAGGCAATCCCTCCAGTATTTTTCTGTTGTATTGTTGATGGCTTTTAAATAGTATCCTTTACTTTCATTTTTGCAGCAGAAGCAATCAGTTCAGAGTTGTTTTCTGCAACAGGTTCTATATATGAGTCATCTTGTATTTATCTCAAACAAAACACACACGGTACATTTAAACTAAAAAATGCAAAACTAAACAAACTGAATTGCCATGACAACACCTGCTACCTACAGGAGGAGCTGTGTTTTTCCGAACATGCCAGAGATACTGAGAAGTGAAAAGAAACACTTGATACCCACTGAAACTTGCCTTTCCGTGTTCAGTTTGCAAATTAAGAAGAATGACTCTGCTGTAATGCAAATGCCTAGGGAAAAACTGATTGCCAATTAAGAGGCAGATTCTTCCAGTCACCTCACCAGTAACACTCTGATTTGTCTGGGATTAACTGATAGACTGGGAGATGCTACAGGCAAGGATTTTTCTCCCTTGGAATTTCATCAGGCAGGAACAGCAGCATAGAGAAGATCATTCATTGAAAATGTAATTCACTTAGTCAACTAATTAAAAGAAAATACTTTTGTTGCCATTTGCAGGTAGGCTGCTGAAATGCAATTAGCTCCTGGAATGATTCCAGGAATCTTTGAGTTTTCAGGATCTGCAGATTATTTCCTTGAGGTGTCAGCTTTGGTGAGAGGGTTCTTCTAAAGTTTCATCTGCGTTTAGCTTTATCCCTGGTTAGCCTTGTGATATGAGAGCCACACTGATGTAGAGGAATACCATGTGCTTTTGAGCGCTGTAAGCAAAAAGCAGCACTGAATTGACAGTAACTATTATTAGCTTCCTGTTATTTTCTGTTCCTAGTATCTAGAATAGCAATAGTTTGTGCTTTATTTTTATACAGCCATCCATCACATTCAAGGACAGGTTACCAATCCTGAAAGCATATCTAAACTTTTGCTTGGATCAGAGCTTGCTCAAGAATGTTTTGCAGCTTACGAACGCCTTCTAAAATCAGGCAGCACCTTCCCTGCATCTTGCTTCTCTGCCTGCTGATGGCACAGGCACATTCAGTTAGGGTGTTCAGGCTTGAAAATGAGACACATGGCCAAAGGGATCTCCAGCAGAGTGTTTGGAGAGGCCAACCAGTTGACCTTACATAGATGGTTAATGACTGTCACAGGCTTTAATGTAGCTCAGTGCTGGTGACAGAATGTGTTTAAGAGACCAGTTATTGCTGTGATGGAACAGAGCAATTGCCCATCTCGTCTGAGACCTGCCTCTGGCAGCAAGTTGTGTGCATGGCTCCCAAGGAAGATGGAAACCCCACAAGCACATGGAAAGAGAGACTTGTTTACAGACTTCTGCTGATGAATGTGTGTCCTGGAGCATGTCTTCTCATCTTCAACAGCAGTTTGTCCTAACTTTCCATCAGAAATGCATGTATAACAGACACTAATCTGGCTAGTTCCTTTTAAAATTTGTTAAACTGACTCAATTTGTTATGGAAACAAACTGGGTTTAGTTATTCTGTGCTGCATAATGATTTAGCAGCTCCTGCCTTATCAATGAAGATGCAGAAAAGCAACTAGAATGTTTTTAACTGCAATGCTGCGGTTTGCAAAGATCCCAAATGTCGTCTCATTCCTTCCTACCCAACATCCCAGTCTGAGTAAGCAGGGGAGGGTTTCTGGTGTGTTGTGGTTTGCATACAGACTTTCATGCGTATTGTGATGCTTACTGAGAATGTTAATATGCCAGGGCATAAAAGGGCACTCCCTCCAAAAACTGGGCTCTCCTAAGACATCAAGAGCAAAACTAACTCAATACTTGTGAAAATCCTGTCTAATGTTCACTCTTTTAACAGCATCATATGCCACGACACAGACTCACATAAACAGACATGCTTTTTCTTTTAGAAAGAGATCTCAGCTTGGCTTTTAAGTAAGTATCTGTAAATAAATGCTGAAAATCTTTTCTGAGCTGACGTATTGAGGCTGATACAGAAATCTTTTTTTTTTATTGAGGCCAAGCAGAGGTGGGGCCAGGCCACATGTAACATCAAGGAGTGAGCACCTTGGGGTGATTGAGTTCCATCAGACTTTGCATTGCTCTGTTCCTCTGTAATGCAGGCCAGAAAATACGGGCTTTATTATTAGAAAAGGCATATCTGTTTCTTGAGAAATACTGAACGATCAAAATTGTAAGAAAAGTTTGAGTAAAATCAGATTATGTTTTTGAGGAATGCTTTCTCATATAGAAACTGGCTTTTTAGTCGCTACCTCTGTTAGAAGATGGATTTTCTCTTTTCCCCTTGTTTATTACCTTGGGATGGGGAAGGGGAGGAAAATGGGGGGATGGAAGAGAAATGTATCAAATATATGAAAACCTTCAAAATGTGGAAGTATTCCATTTTCCATCAGAACTGGGAGCTTAGACAGATTTGTGGGGAAATGAGAATGTGCCTTGTCCACTGTTTACAATGAAATGTTATTCCAGCTCTGTAAGCCCCCCTGCTTTTGGGTCACTGTGCTGCCGGAGATGTTTGGAGGTTTGGATGAGAAGAGAAACTGATATCCTAACAGTTTGTGATTATTTAAAACTGTTTTCAGAAAAATTTAGGCCTGTTTCCTCCCTGTGTCTTGGGCCAACATCCATCTAGGAAGTTCCTGCCTGCTTGGAGTCACATGTAGTTTCAGTGTCTTACCCCTTCTGCCACAAATACAGTATTAATAAGTGGAAGGAGCTGCATTTTAACCCCAAAGAAGCATGTTAGTAAATGGCAAGTGAAACAATCCTCTGTCTACATGGGTTGACGTCTCATTGTTATCATTTTAATAAATCTGCTAAGGTACCATGGCAACTGGGTGTGAAAACAACAGTCAGGGCAGTCTCAGATGGAAGAAATCTTATGCAGGAGAGAATATAACTTAATTTATTGAGTATTTGCTGTTATTGCTGCTGTGTACGATGTGGCTTTTTCCATTTGCAAACCAAGGAAGGGTTTGTCTGTTCCAAGGCTGCCATAACTTTGCTTGTTTGACTTCACAGTTGCTGAAATAATTTCCAGCCTATTGCATACAAAAGTATATGAACTGCTTTATATGTGGCGTGAAGCAGATGTGCTTTTGGGCAAGTAGATGCCAAGCAGCAAAAAGCTGGAGGGGAGAGGGGATGCTGGTTTGATTTGTTGTTTTTTTTTTGTTTCTAATTTTCTTTTGTGTCTTGTTTTCTTTAGCCCAGTTGCACACATGCTATTCTCGTTCGGTCTTCTGAAAGCCCTGCATACTTCCCAGAGGGCAGTATGCTCCCCATTTCTATTCCCCGTTAATTTCCTCTCTATTGAGGATACTAATTGATGGAGATTACAACAATTTCAAAGGCTCCCTACTTCTCCATGATTTCTGTGGCACATCTCAGGCCCTACTAAGTGCTGGTGGGATCAGCCAAGAATCGCCTTGTGCCTCCTTTAGTCTGTGTTTTCTCTCTGTGCTGGAATGGAAAGACAGAGAGGTCTTGACTTTAATTCTGAATATTATGCACATAGGAAAAATCCTAAATTATAAGCCAAACCTAGCTAGAGGGATGTTTTGTATTGCAGGAGTGATGCAGTGAAGTGTTTAACAGGTCAATGTACGTATGTGCCTGCCCAATTATTCATTTATCGTTAAAGCAGGGAGAAAATCAGTTCAAAAATCTAACATTCATGGGAGATAAAGATCTGTTAGTTTTCTAAAGGTTAGTGCACAGAAACCATGTAAATATTATTGATCTTATGTTATTTCTTTAACTGACCTGTTGAAGTGCCCCTCACCTATGTTAGCATCTCTTTGTTGATAGAGAGGTACTGTATTGCCTGTGTGTGTACAGGTTTTTTAGCTTGTTTGGTTGTTGTTGGTTTTTTTTTTTCCCTTTTTCCATATAGATTATGGTAATGACCAAAGGAAAATGTTTCATGTGTTAGCAGTTATTCCATATATTACATTACTTATATTCTTTTGCAGGTTTCTGACTTACTCCTACCTTCTGGCCTTCAATGCGTGGCTTCTGCTGGCACCCATCACCCTCTGCTATGACTGGCAGGTCGGCAGCATCCCTTTGATCGAGTCAATCTGGGATGCAAGGAACTTAGCCACCGTGTTCCTGGTACTGGTGATGACCTTACTCAGCCTACATTGCATAGCTGCATTCAAGGTAACACCAAAAAGTCATGCAATAGAGTGTTTCATTTAAAATATTCTGTTTCCTAACCTTCATATGAAATGGTCAGTAAGCACAAGTTTTCCTCTCAAATGCACTGGACTGAGGTTAAAAAAACCCTACTACATAACTAATGCAGGCAAGCTTCAAAGATGAAAATGTCCCCCTCGTTGAATGTCTCAGTCTCTGGTGTGATTTGAGGGCAAAACTTGTCCTAGAGTCCTGCATTCAATTACTGTTAAGGGTCCAAACCCACTGAAGTTAAGTGTCTCTGCCTCTGTCATAGTCATTAGGCTCTTTGTCGCTTGCTTCAAACAGGACTGGGAACTGTCATCTGCAGAGCCATTTAAAATAAAATCAATTACAGTATTCATACCTTTATTGTGCTTCTAAAAGCTAAATGTGGGATACGTCTTGATGAGAAGATTTCTCATCAGTGGAGTAATGGAATGTGGGAGATCTGAAATGATCTGGAAGTTGTTACTTAGTGTAAATAATATAGCTGGTAAGCCGTACTTTGCAATTCAACATTTCAGATCCACCATTAATGGATATGACAGTGAGATTGTACTAGACTTGTCAGAGATCAGACATGCGCTTACATGGAATGGGTTTTTTTTGTGGATCATAGGTAATTACAAGCTTTCCTCCAACAGTGTTGGAAGGAAAGTGCTGGTAATTATTTTTGAAATAGCACAAAAGTTTTTCTTCCTTAAATATATGCATCTTTGAAAAGCATAGGAGGGGAATGTTAGGTTTTTAATACTTACGTTATGCTAAAATGTTCAGGTCATGTACGTACTTCAGTTTACCCTGCCAGTCTTCCCTCTGTTCCTGATAAGAGAAAATGAACCAAATGGTTTGAGACTGCAGAGTCATTAATTTAGATTATACATTGACAGATGCTCTATGGCAAAAATGGGAAAATACCCTATTACATATTCATTAGTTCTACCTGCAGGTTGTACACCATCTTGTATTCCTCCTGCTTTTATTACTCACTGCTAGAGATATTCAGAAGTGTTTGTATTAGACCTAATCCTGTTCCCATGGAAGTTAATGATAAAATTCTCATTAGCACAGTACTGAACACTTCTAAAAAATCTTATCCCATTTTCTTTGACGTTTTGGTTGCTATCAGTGAGATTAATGTTGTTGGTTTGCTGGGGGGAAAGAAAATCTTCCAGGATTATGCAAAGACATTTGATATTATTTTATTTTGGGTGAAACCATAATCCAGAAGGATTCCTTTGGGTAACTGAAGTATTTGTCTTCTGTTGAACTGCAAAACAAAATATTTCAAGGCACTTTGTGCATTAAGTGACTGGATTTTGTAATATTTTTATTCCTTCTGGCCTTTTTCTTAAAGGCAAAACAATTCAGTGTGTATTTATGAATACCACTGTTTGATTTGAAATGGCAATTTCTATTTTTGTGTGTGTGTGTGTGAAATAACTTCACTGCTTTGCTCTTAACCACTGTTAATGTAGCATTGAACAACGTGAGCTTCACTCTTCAGGCGTTTAGTTGCTGGGTGTTTTGAAATTCATCTTGTAGATTCTTTTGTGTTTAACCTTGAAAACCCCAAACATGGCATAAATTGGATCTGAAGTGATCTGCTTTTGTGGCTAACCCACGTGAAACCAGAAATATCACCTATTCTTGACAAAGTGCTGTAATCAGTCTTTGCTCTGCTTTCCTGCAAACCCACCATAAACATGGAAGTGGTAATGGTTCCTCAGGGTCAACATGCTTCCCCCAGCCCTAGGTATAATTAGAGATAACTGAAATATTCTGCTTTTCAGGAAATTCTAGATTTTGGAAGCTGTTTTCTGTTTCATGTGTAATGATTCTCATGACTATGGTGATACTGCCATAAGTGGTATGAAGGTGATTGTGTTGAGTAGTGTGGATTGTTGAGGAAAGCAAACAGTATGAAGAGACACATTTCCTGGAAATGCATTACCCCATTTGGATTTGGACACTTTCGGGAATATCTTCTACAGCGAGGAGAGGGAAGTTCAGGTCACGTGAACTGCAGGCACAATTGCATTAGGCTCTTAAGAAAGCTTCTTTCCAAATGCAACAGCCTTTCATACGATACTGCTCCCCCAAGAAGAACCATCCTTCTGTCAAGCCCCAGACAGGCTATTTCTCAGTATTTTGCAGGTTGTAGGCAGCATGAGACACATCAGTTTATTTTTCACATTGCATAAAGTAAGAAATTCTACATTCTTTCTGAAGCAAACACACAGAACTGTCCTAGCAGCCTTTTTTTTTTCCCTCATTTTTCATTACAAAGGCTAACCTGGAAGGAATAACTTGCGATTTTCTAAGGAATGGTTTTAGAATGAACAGGCATGCAGTTTGTGTGTGCCTTTCATTTGAGTGTGCAGGTATGCAGGGCTATGAGAGGAAAAAGCCTCATGTTTGTTCTTACTGGCACTGACACTTTCCTTTCTGTGGCACAGAGAATGGAAATGCTAGAAATTATTTTGGCAGGAGTGAATACATTTGTGCACTGAGCACAAGAACTGATTTTCAGTGGTAAGAGGCGATGTGTGTGCGTCCAAACAAGCTCACAGGAGACTTGTAGAATATATTACATGGAATGTAATTAAGAGAATGCATGTATTGGATTTCTGTCTTTGTTGCCTTTGAATTTTAAACAGGGCTAATTTGTTGTTGACGTTTGTGATTAGGATAATAACCCTGTTGTTAGGTATGTGTAGTGCTGATAAAAGACATCTAAGGCAAGCTTTCTTGTTCCATTTCATTTTGAGAACATTGTTATACCTCAGAAGAAGAAACAGTGCAAGATTTCTACCCATAAGTGCTTCACTTGGAATATGTCTGTTACTAGATGGAGGTGTTCATGCTCCCGTATGAAGAGAGGCTAAAATGTTGGGGCTGTTCAGCCTGGAGAAGAGAAACTGCGTGGAGGCCTCATAGCAGCCTTCCAGTATCTGAAGGGGGGCCTACAAGGATGCCAGAGAGTGACTCTTCATCAGGGACTGCAGTGATAGGACAGGGGGTGGCGGGTTTAAACTAAAACAAAGGAGATTCAGAGTAGATGTAAGGAAGAAGCTCTTTACTGTGAGGGTGGTAAGACACTGGAATGGGTTGCCCAAAGAAGTGGTAAATGCTCCATCCCTGGCAGTGCTCAAGGCCAGGATGAAGCCTTGGGTTTCATGGTCTAGGGTGAGGAGTCCCTGTCCATGGTAGGGGGGTTGGAACTAATGATCTTAAGGTCCTTTCCAACCCTAACCATTCTATGATGCTGTAAGAGAGCTCTCCAGTTTGATATTGTTTGGAAAGAGAAGCCTCCCTTCTCATCATCCTCATGCACTGTCACTGTTGTCCTCCTTCTTTCTTAACGAGGAAGTCATTGAAAAATTGCTCTGTGAATTTCTTGTATATAACTTTCCTTGGCTGGGTTGTTTTGTCTGTGTAGTGCTGTTTCCTTTTGCTTATTGGCTAAAGAGCTCCCTGTGAGCAGCTCCTCAAGAAGGATTTGTTACTCTGCAGTGTTTAGGTGCACAGACATGCTTATCTCTTGCTGTAGCCATCTGTACCACACATGACAATTTCCACCTTCAGAATGCCTGACAGGAGTAAAGAGAAGGCCTGCTCCTTGTATCTCCCACTGTTGGACTAAGGGACCTTGCTGTCATCTGTAGCCAAGACTTTTCCATAGTGATACAGTTTCCTGGTGGCTAAGCTGCAGTCCATCATTAAGCAGCTCTTGGAAACACTGATACTTGATTTTTTTACTACAAAGATGCCAGGCATGCTCTGCAAATTTGCCTCTCTTAAGATGTTCTAGCCAAGGTGCCAGGAGCCACCAGAGGGTCTTGAAATCCTCAGGTTCTGTTCAGCTCTTTGCAAGGAACTTCCCCTCTGTGTCTGGTTGGGCTTCAAGTAGCATGCAGGGGATGTGACAAAGGCTGGGGATGCTATTGCAAATACCTGCCTCCCAGAGAAATAATGATAATTGGGAAAAGAGAATGAGATTTGTACATTGTTCATTTTCAAAGACAGCCTCAGCTGCAAGGCATGGATGTGGCCTGTCTTCCAGCTTGGGGACTAGGAAGATTACAAAGTGAAGATTACCAGTGAAATGGATGAAGCAGTCTTTTTGGTTGCTGAGCACACCAGTTACAAGGCCAGAGGAATAATGTCTGATGTTTCAAATGGCCACTAGTGTACCCGGGGCCCATAGTGCTGCCTTCCTCTGCTGGAAGAAATGGCAAGCACCTGGTGAACTACAGAGAGGACAACAGTTCTTGGTGTATTGTCAGGACAACAGTTGTTTCTTTGGCATTCATAATAATTCAATAAGCATGAAAGGAAGACCCTTCAGATGTTTAGAAGGCCACTCTGAGTGGCACTTCTAGGAAGCTGCTTAACTAGCAGTGTGATTAAAATGCACCTTGTCTTGTAGTTGTAGCTGTGAAGGTATGTACAGAGCACATGATGGATCAAATTCCTCTGATATATATATAGGGCTGATAGTGGGAAAACTCATGTGTGTGTGACGGGGTAATTCACAGCAAAGTGATCTGAAAAACCAGTTTGAAACAGTAGCTTTGGTATCTGGCCAGTCTTGGGGGTGAATGTCTTGTTCTTCATGCCTCTTGGTCCTTGTAATGCATTTATACTCATGACCAGCACATGGAGGTACCTTATGGTGGTTCAAGGCACCTTTTACTTGCTCAGCAGTAACACATAATGACATGCAGCAGTTTGCTTGTGTCTGAGGAGGGAGTGCTACCTATGTTTCACATTAATAAAATAAATATCTGTAGTGTCCTCTAGGATATACCTTTTTAAAGAACACGTTTTGCTGCTTTATGATGTGGCTACCTGTGATACAGGCGGTTGTGATGTTTTTCAGTTTATATTCATTACAATGTGACTGTGATGTATATTATTACCCTGATCTTTCATATGCTACAGTTGGTTGTTTTTTTTATGTCAGGTCTAATTTTAAG